TCCCTTCTCAAAAATAATACCAGTCCCACCTATGCTGAAAGCCTGAAAACTTGAGAGCTGCAGTCTAAAATAAGTCTGTCGGGTTATGCCTTATGCATTATAATGCTTTATATTAAAATTACATTTGATCCGCACTCCCCTGTTTATATGTGCAGTAATGTAAGTATGAAGGCTTGTAGATACCTTACTGTGTATCTAAAGGATTAAATTGTTTTGGAAAAATAAGACTGTACCTTTAAAGACTTCATCTACTTCACAGTTTTGCTTAGTGATAGAACTAGTTTGAAATATAAATATATATAATATATAATATCTGCTGATTTAATATATCACAGTGCTGAGCACTCCATAAATATTTGGTGAATTGAACAAATCAATATTCCTAACACCGACAGGATTTTTTTAAAAGATTTAAAACAAAACAAAGCAAAATCATAACAGTTTTTACAAAAAAGAATTAATTGGTGTTCAATGTGTCAGAAATGTTGATTCACGCATCTTAGAAAGTTGGCCCCCAGAGTTATGTGATGAGTACGTCCTGATCCTGGGATGGTGCAGACAAACTGCACTGGAAAAAGGAGAGTGGGTTTGATTCTGCTCTGAACACGTAGGCAGTGCCTGGGCTGGGTTGTCTGACACCGGATCTCTATGCTAGTTACCGAACAGAACGCTGAAGTAGGTATGATCTTTGCTTTGTATACGTTGATTTAACACTAGTTCTCTCTTTCTATATCACCAATCCTGAGACAAACCAAAATACTCCTGGTTGAAAACATCACTCATGGCTCTTAAGAGTTCTTACTCAAAGATGTTGTGGTAAGTTGAAAAGTGGCCTCCCAAAAGCCATGTCCTCATCCACATCCTCATCCCTGGAATCTGTGAACGTTACCTTATTTGGAAACGGTCTTTGCAGATGTGATTGAGTTATGGATCTTCACATGGGGAGGTTATCCTGGGTTATTTGGGTAGACACTAAATGCCGTCACATGTATCCTTACAAGAGAGAGATCAGAGACAGATACATGGAGGAGAAAGTAATGTAAAGATAGAGCAGAGACTAGAGTGATGCAGTCATAAGCCAAGGAATGCCGGTGGCCACTAGAAGCCAGAAGAGGCAGGAAAGGACTCTCCCCTAGAGCCTCCAGAGGGAGTGTGGCCTTGCCAACACTTTGATTTCAGACTTCTAGCCTCCAGAACTGAGAAAGAATGAATTTCTGTTGTTTTAAGCTACCAAGTTTGTGGTAATTGTTACAGCGGTCACAGAAGACCATGGTATAGTTTTCCCTCCAAGAAATTACAAACTAGGAAGATTATATGTAGGTTCATAGGTTATATATATATAACTCCTTCATAAGTGATAATAGTATAAGGTAGCAAATCATGAGTCCCCCAAGAAAGGTGCAAAGGACTATGAGTATGGACGAGAGAGGGAGGGAGGTTCCAAAAGGATCGGAGAGAGTTTTGGAAGGAAGAACATCTGAGCTGGGTCTGGAAGCATGTTCAGAGATGGTGAGAGGGTGGGAGGACAGAAGGAAAGAAATAACAATAACAGAGGTGCAGAGCTGAGAAACACATTGGGTTTGTTAGGGGTAAGATAAGGTGAGAAATAAGGTTGGAAAGGTAGACTGAGGCCAGGTCATGAACAGATCTGAAAACTGCCTAATGGCTTTGGGCTTTACTTATAGGCCTCTGGGAACCATCAAAGCTTATTGATTAGGAGAGTGACACAATTAGGGCTATACCTGGAAGCTACTTTTGTAGAAATGTGTAAGATGGAGAAGAAACTAACAGTGGTAGGAAGATCTCTTAGAAGAGTGTGGTTTTATTGCACCATACTAGATAAGTGCCTAAACCAACTAACTAAATCAATGCTTAACTTTAAAAATGAAGAAGATGGGACAGATGCCAAGAGCTCATAGTGACATATACTTGACTGGGCGTGGCAACTAATTAGCTGGCAGAGGGAAAAGTCAAAGATAGTGCCAGGATTTATGTGTCATGAAAGACGATGGTGGTGGAAACAGAAATAAAGAACACAGGAGGAAGAAGAGGTTTGGGAAAGGTAGATGAGCTCAGTTTGCAACATACTGAATGTGAAATGTTGGCAAGATATCTACATGATAATGAGATTCAGGAAGCAGGAAATGTGTGGTGGCATCAGGAGAGAGGTCAGGGATAGACGTACAGGTGTGGGGGCCATCCACAGATGTGATTGTTACAGCCAGGAGACTGGGTAAAATTTATAAGGGACAGAGTGTAGACACCCATTCTCAAGGAGGGAGGGTTATGACTCACCATGTTACTGATGCATCCCTCAGGTGTGTTTCAGGAGGAACAAAGCTGAGAGGAAGTAGCATAGACGGAGTTTCCCAACCAGATGCCCACAGCACTGTGCCAGCTCAGGTCTGCTGCAAGAAGCTGGTCCTTGCAGCCTCAGCAAGGCTGGTAGATTCTTGAGTGGTGAGAGTTCCCTAGTCACCTCCAACCATGAGCAGCTTCAATCTAAAACTCTTTTAAGGGTGGCCAAAGCAGAGTGGGATCTGATGATGTGCCTGTGGAACCCTCACTGTTCCACGGTGGCCATCAAGAATTTGAAGAGATGACCATTTTAAAAGTTTTGGTTAGAAATTGCATGCAGTCATTCAAGCATAAAACCTACTATAAAGAAGTTAAATTCACAGAAGCAAACTTGGCAGTTTCTCAACAAAATTTTGAAGAAAGTTTTTCATTCTATTTTTCTTATCGTAGTTATATAGTATAAGGAAAACGTAAGTTGTTTTCCACTAAGCCTCCCATATAGTCACCCCCAAGACCTTTCCCGTTTACCCCCAATGTGCCATACTATCCTTTTTCTGTGTGTGCTATGATGTAAAAAATGGTTGAGAAGCACTGATATAGAGAGATACGAGGCTAAAATCAGATCCTCGTGGAATATCTACATTGCAGGAGAGGGGGCGGTGAAGAAAAGACACAGAAAGAGCAGGTATCTGGCATTTGGGAGACAGGCTCCACCTCAAAATGTGGAAGATTACCCCAAAGGAAGTGGGTTTAGATGCTGGGCTGCCAAAGTAGATGATAATTGTCCATGACAGGTCAACAGTGTCAAATGTCACCAAAAAGTGAAATAAAGACCTTTTGAGGTATCCACTGGATCTGATAATTAGAAATCACTAGAACTGCTGGCAAGATCAGTGCCAGGGGACTGACGTGAAAAAGCCACACAACAGAGAGTTGAGGTGTGAACAGGAGGAGACAAGATGCAGACAGAAAGAATAAACTGCTCTTTTAAAAAGCTTATCATTTTTTGATGGTAATGAGAGAAAAATGGTGCAGAGAAGGGGACCAAGGACCAGGAGGCCCTTTGTGAGATGTCAGACTTGAGTGTGTTTCTATCTTAAAAGGTAAATAGCCAGCCCAGAGGAGAATTTAAAGATGTAGAGATTTGTAACTGCGGATGAAGGCATACACTCAATAGAGAAAATTCCTGAAGGAGCTGGAAGGGATGAGATTGAGCCCAGGTAAAAGAATTGATGTTGGACAGATGTCCACTGGCTCAAAAGAAGGCAGGCAAGGATGGGGCAAGTAATTTTAGCAGTCAGAAATTAGGAAGCTGACGTGGCTCTGCCTGGGCTTTCTTCTCTCTGTTTCCCAAGGATATGGACTGAGGTGTATTAGAAATGAAAGAAGTTATTGGTCTTGGCACTTGGAAGGTCATTTGTGACCTTTGCAAGGATACTTTTAGTGCTTCGTTTAGCCAACAGCTATTTATCCTATTGGTGAATAAAGCACCAGACTGGAAGTCCTGAGACAGAAGTCCGGGATTCTAGATTTAGCTCTTCACCTAATTAGCTCTTCATAAGTGAGGCATCTTTCGGGGACTTATTTCCCCAAAATGAAACAGTTGGATAAAATGATGACTACAGTCATATCCAACACTTACAGTATTTATCTACTGTGTACAAGGCACAGGGTTTGCCACAGCATGAACTATAAAGATGCAATAAGAGGCGGGATTGGGCCCTCAAGGGCATCGTCGCCTGAATTTCTAGTAAAATAGAAAAGCAAACAATTTCTAGTAAAAAGTCATCTTGGAGTGTTCCTTCCTAAGTCAAGGCCAGCTGTCAGGGGAAAAACATTGAAATTTATATTTGAAGGGGGAAAGTATGACAACTTCTGGCATGATTTTTAAACTTCCTCAATGTCAAACTTGGACTGAAAAGTTCAAGACCTTTGACCACCTAATAAAGTTATTTCTCAAGATGGAGAATCTGAGAAAAGAATGAGCCACAATTTAGGGGTCTTACTAAACAAGCAGATTGGGTATTAATGTGAATACTATGGATATATTCTGAGCCTGTCCCGTGGGATGTTTAACACAACACACTAGATGGAAAGTTGTGATTGCACATGTTATATTTTTTAAGACAAAATAGATTCTGCCAACTCCTGATCTGAAGGAACAGAAAACGTAAGCACACACAATGAAGACTGTAGAAACTTGATATAAAAAATGTATTATGTTGTCTGATACATCTTCCCATCAACATGTTCATTATAATACGCTATTTTGTTCTATCCTATTCAGAATTACTAGTTGTCTGTCTATTTTACACCTCCCACCACAAAGCTTAGAAACATTGACAAGCATCTTCCCATACTCTAAATAATGCAGTATGAGAAGGAGGACATTTCTATTGCTTTAATCTCCATAGAAATGCTCACATGGTTAATTTGTTCAGTTCCAAGTCCTTGGTATCCTGTCACTCCTTTCGAATATACTGCAGATCTCCTTTTCCCAAAAGGGATCATTAGCATAGCTCTGATTAGATTGAAAGTGCTACCAATTAAGCTCTTTGTAGAAGAAGAGGTATGTGAGAAGGAGTCTGGATTATTAATTCCAGAGGTGTGTCTACACCATTTCAATCCATCATCATCAAGAGAAATCACCCACCGTCAATAACTAATTCTCTATCGTGGGAAATTAGTTTGTGGCCACCTACCTCTTCTCCTCCCCAAAGCCCCTGTTGCTAGGTCTAACATCTCCAAGCTCTTCCCTCAGGGCATGGAGTGGCTTCCTTCTTTCACTTCCAACGCCTGACGGTGGAGGGAGAGGCAGTTGGGCAGCCAAATGACTGCAGAATTTAGAGCTCAGAAGACCTGATTGCAAGCCTTTCCTCTGCTACTTATTAGCTGTGTAACATTTAGCAATTACTTAATCAGAAGTTCGATTTATTCCTCTGTAAAAGAAAGATTAATAAAACCTGCCTGATCTACAACATGGGGTTGCTATGAAGAAGAAGAGGAAATAGTTGACATGAGAGCATTTTATAATCCACTGTATAACTTGACTAGCTGTGGGGAGATGGCAAAGGCGAGTAATCTGAGCACTGTCCCCCCAAACAAGAGAGACCTTTCCTCCTGATCTGGTTCTGCAGGAAACCAGGAGCCTTCGCAACTGCCCCTCTGCCTGGATTGCGCTCCCACTTTGAGCAAGACCCTGTGAGAACACGCTTTGGGGGTGAATGGATCCACGTGCCAGCCCTGAGTCCTACAAACCTGTCTTTACATTCTGATTTCTCAGGGTGAGGCTCTCTGGCACTTGGGTTGGTTTTTTGGGGTAGTTTCAAATCTCTGTTCTGGAACCTTGTTTTTCAGAATTACGCAGGTCAGAACAGCAGTCACTTTAAACAGATTTTTATCCTTCACGTAACAAAACAGACACTGTTCAACAAGGAATCATTGGTGTTCAGATCAAACAAAAATATGAGGTTTAAATAGCTCCCCAAATGATCAAAGGACTCCTGTTTCTGTCCAGTGTACTTATTAAGTCAGTGCACAACTCCATCCCATTTGGAGATCAGATATGAGGCCAAACACAGTCCAAGACTAGTGGAGCAGGACAGAGTATGTTCTGGAAATTTTTTCTCTGAAAAGTTCACTGTTATTACCTCTATATAACCTGATTAACCTTAATTAAAACTCCTGAGGTAAATTTTTCAATTTTCTGGAACCACATAGTTATCCCTTTAGTCAAATTAGGATCCCAGGGGTAGACATTAGTTTCCTGTGTTAGTCAAGATCAATTCTGACTGGGAATGTATCACTGGAGGAAAAGAAGTTGAACTGTCACAACTTCAGAAAAGAGCAGTGTGAATGGCTCTGCTGTGAAGATGTCTGACTTCCAAAGAAAGAGCTGTCACCTCAGAAATCAATGGTTTTTAATAAAAAATTCTTCTATATTAATCTCTTCTTATAAATAATGAGACATTTTATGATGCTACATTACAGTAGCCAATTACTTCTCTTAAAAGGTATTTTTATCTCTCTCAATTTCATTTTCACCATATAATTCAAAATAAATGGCATTCAATTGTAAACAGTATTGTCACATGCATTGTCTCATTTGATTCTCAGATTACTGTCCCTATTTTGCAGTTGAGGAATCCAGCTCATAGCACAATGTTGGTGCAAAATAGGTATCTTCTGAATGAATGAATGAGTCAATCAATGAATAGTATGTGATTTGCCCAAACCTGAATAGCTAGAAGGATCTGACTTGAGCCTACAACTTTGGTCCACTGCTCTTTCCACTGTATATATGCCCTCCGCTCTTGCTAACACTAGAAAAGTTTAAGCTAATTGTCACATCTAAAATAGATTTACAAGTACCTGATTACACTTTGTTCAAGCAAATGTGGAAAATGTTACTTCCAAGGAAATGTACTGAAATGGTGTTTATTATTATTAGAAACTAGAAATTCTCTTGTCTTTCTCTCTTTCTTGGATATGCTCCAAAGAAGGTTGAAATCTTACATTTCAAAACAGACTGTTGCCTTGTTCCAGTCCTGGAGCTTTTCTCATTGTCGGGAATCCTAGCAGATCACAGGAGCCATGCAGTTGTGGGCTCGGGGGGAGTAGGGGGGAATGTAATTTGGCAACAATTGCTTTAGAAATCAGCCAGATATGTTATACAGATTGTACATCCTTTTTCTGTAAGATCTAGTATAGGAAGAAAAATACAGCAATCAGGGAATAAAGAGACTTCATTCTCCTTACCACAGAGCAACGTTTCTTCAAAAATACGAAGGCTTCAATTGAGAAGACTCTTATCAAGCTATTGCTAGGCCTCAGGCTATAATATTATAATAGTCAACAGAGAAAGAACAGAGTATAAAGCATGACAAGGAATAGAATGGCCACTAGAGAGGGCAGAAAGTCCAGGTTTTAGCCCTTTTCCATAGTATTTTAAGTATAATCACAAAGCAAGCTCTAAGCAAACACCGAAGTGGAAAAGGGTACATTCTTACCCCCCCATTACATTTCTTTCACAAAATAATGACCCATTTTCTCCTGGACTAAAGTCAGGAAAAGCCAGATAGCACTGCATTACCTGATAAGATTACACCCTGAAGAACATAACTTCAAGCATGCCCCGTTTACTGACTGGCATTAAAAAGTAGATAAGATTTTACCCTTTGAAAGGAAAGAAAATCAACAACCTATGTGTGGGATATTCATTTTTTAAACCAATAAGATGCTGAGATCAATTCTCAGGTTTTTACTACACACATTTATAGACTCAGAGTGACGATTAAGACTCACAGCCAATTCCTGAGACATTTACCAGTACCACCTGAGAATGAAGGGACCATCATCAGAGTGAGGGATATGAAACACAATGGGTCAAATGGGATATTAATAAAGCCCTAACTGTGACCTTGATTTTCCTTATAACCAGTCACCAAACAAATTAGATCCACTGCAATGCAGTGGAACAGATATGTTGTGCCATTATTATCACTGTGGTTGTTATTAAAGGCATTCAACAGTAGAAATGTATGATTTCCTAATTTTGTCAAAGAACTTATAAAAAATGTATCCTTCATCCCACTCACCCTGCCCCAGTAAAATACAGAGAAGCATTACATACCTCCATGCTCATTTCCATGTGAAGCTTCCCTGAGGACCACAAAGCCTTGGGCTATGGACACACTTTCAGTGTTCCTCTAAGGGGGTTGGTGTGCGGGGAGAATGCATGGGAACCACAGACTTATGTATTCTCCAACTGCGAGTCTCTCTGGCAGCTTCCCAGACTGGGTATGTGCCGCCCTGTGGCAAATGAGTGAAAGGACAAAGGCTAGTCTAAAATTGATCCTTGCTTCCATATGGAGTCTTCTTCCCACAAAAAAAAAAAGGAATTGACATCATGCTTAATACTGGTTCATTCCTTATTCTTAAAAAATTAATACTGCTTCTCAAAATTGTGAATATTTATTTTTATAGGTCAAAATCAGAGTTTGTCATATAATTTTTAACAGAAACAAGTGTAAAATATGCAATGACCTAATACAGCAAATTTTTTAAAAAACTGCTGAGGCGAGGAATTGTTTTGGTTATTGTATTTTCTGGCTAATTGAAGATTCGGCAGAAAAGCTGTATAGGTGCTTGTTGTTTTGCATATTTCTACACTGTGTTAGTTTTTTTCCTATATTAATAAGTATGGCATAGTAAAACTGCTCTCTGACAAGTTCCCACGGTTCACAGGAGGATCAGGGAGACAGCACCCAGAATGAGTACTATCCACAGTGTTATGGGAGAGCAGACTCGAAGCAGAGAGTGACCATCAGACTCAAAGGAGGTGAGGGTGCAGGGAGAAGGAGAGAGGGAGGGTCTCTATGTTTCTAAAATAGTGGACCTTAACCTTTTCATGGCCACAGACTCCTTAAATAATGAAATAAAATACCAATCCCTTCCCTGCCAAATTGTACACACAGATGAAACTTCGCATATAATCCCCCCTGAGGCTGTCCATGGGACCTAGGTCATGTGTTCTTAACTCTTGAAGTTCCTTTATTTACTAAATGTGTAAAAACTAATTTATTTCCTTATTTTTCTATTTTTACAAAGGGTGACATACAGGAAAAAAAATTTTTCATATCAAAATTTCTAGTTAATAAAGCATTACTTTTAGCTGTATGTTTACCTAATTATTTTTCTTCTTAAAGTATTTATTCAAATATGCCTTTTAAATCCTCCAATACCCTAAGAAGCAGGTGAGCAAAGTGGTGTTACTTATACTTCATAGGTCAAGCAACAGGAGAGCAGGGAGTTAAGTTGCAGAGTCAAGACTAAAACTCTTGCCCTCTGGCTTAGCACTCTCTCCACCAGGTCAGCCTTCCACCTGCCCTCTGAGAATCCTTTGGGGACCCGTGGGGTGCGGAAACTGAGGATTTGGGTTTCATCCGGGGTAGCCTCTTGTTTCTTGGATTTACATGTTAGGTTTGTGATTCTGCTTGAATAAAGGGCTCAATTTAGTTATATTAAATGTTTCTTAATATATTTATTTCTTCTTTATTCCATATAGCGTTTATTGTTTACTGTAAAATAAATACATATTATAATGTAAAAAAAGGTGTGTAAGCATTTGGGTGAAATATTAAACCTATGATATAAAAACTGTATAAAATTTTATCATAAAAACCCAGATTAAAAGAAGTTAGGCCCCTTGCTTGGTAAGACTCCTGAATTTAGAGTAAAGAACAAGAGGAGATAAAACAAATCCAAAGAGCAAGATTGACCCTGGCCTCTGGGGATAGTGGGTGCTGAAGTAATGGGATAGATTACAAAGAAGAACTCAGCTCTCTTTCTTACACAAAGCAGACCAAGCAAACAGAAGGCAGCCATGGAACAAAAACCGCACATGGGTTAAGGAAAAGAGGGAGAAGCGAGGTAACACTCAGGCTGGGAGTGGAGGAATAGGGAAGTTGGGAAAGCAGTGTAGAGAAGTGTTGAGAAGGAAGAGAATTGAAGAAAAGAAAAAATAGAGAAATATATGAGGAAGTAAAACAGAATGGCTTTGTGATTTACCATTTATGGGAATGAGAAGGAAGGAGAAAGGAATAGAATGATGATTTCCAGGGTTTTAGGTCCATGGCTGGGTATATGCCAACAACTGAGGCAGGGAATACACCGTAGAAGTGAGTTTGTAGGGGAAGATGAAGAATTTAGTTTGGGATATGCTTAATTTCAGCAGCTGTGGGATATCCATGGAGAGATGTAGATCTGACAATAGGGTGTAGTGTATGAGTCTGATATTTGAAGGAAAGATCTATCTGAGCTGACGATATTTGGGTGTCACCAGCATCCAAGTGCATATAGAGCTATGAGACCAGAAAAGAGCAA